ATGAAAATAATGCAAGACAACTATTCTGCTCCCCAACAAGCTGGTCTACACTCGTTAAAAATACCTAACCATAGGAGCTGGCCGGTTAGCTCAGGTGGTTAGAACGCAGCCTTATAACACCAAGGTCAAGGGTTTGGTTCCCTGGGCTGACCAAGCACCAGAAAAAAAAAAAGATATTTTAAAAACTAAAACAAATGCTGAAGGTCACATGATATTTGTGATTTTAAAACAAGCTAAAACAGCTAAAATCAGAAGATGAACTAAAATTTTCATACACACCAAAAGCTAACACGACGTTAGTCATGGTGGTCGGTAGACTGCTAGGAGGTGACTCTGGAGCCGTGAACTCCACCTGACGGACGGGCAATGGCGGGACCGAGTGGGGACAGGGCGTCCTCCCAAACCCAGCCCCACGCCCCGCTCAGCCGGTCTCCGCTTCGTCCTCACCTACGTCCATCCACTCCGGAGGCAGCACCCGGCACTTCTGTCGTTGCTTCAGGTTGACCGCCAGCCACAGTGGCACTGCCACCGGTGCTCCAGGGTTAAAAGGCCCCAGGTCGCCCTGCCGAAGGCAAACAGTCCCCGTCAGATAAGAGCAGACGCACTGCTGCACCCGCCGCTGTCGCATGAGAGGAGAGGCACCGGTCCCCGTCCGAGGACAGACGAACCCCCAGCTGTCCCTGCAGTCAGGCCTCCCTCGACCTCCCGGAAGTTGCCGACGCCCGGCTTCCCGCCTCGAGTCCCCCCGCGGCCTCCTTCCAGGACTCACTCCACAGAGAGCCGCGCCAGCCCGCCCCGGAGCCTCGCTTTCCCCGCCTGCAGCCGCCCCGCAGCCATGGGGCCCTCACCCCGATGAGGTAGATCTTGTCCAGACTGAAGTTAGGGATAATGGTAACCAGCTCCTTCTCGGCCAGAAACTCCACCTCCGCCGCATCCATGGCGGCGCGAGCGGCCGCCCGGGACTCACAGTCTCCTCAGACCACTCAGCGTCCGGGAGAAGGCCCGGCGGCCGCCACTTTCCCGCCACAGCACAGGGCCCGCCCCCGACCGGACGTCAACCTGCAGCGACCTATCGGGACGCGGCGGTCTCCGCAGAACGGCTGCAGGCGGAGACCGCGGTGGCGACGAGCCCACGGATTGGCGAGCCCGGGCGAGATTGACAGCCTGCTCCGCGCCGCCCCTGTAGCAGCCCCTCTCCCTCCCGTAGGCCAAGCACTTGGCGCGGTCGGGGCCACCTGCTGCTGGCGTCACGGTCGGTGTCCGTTCACCCGCCCCCGGGCGCCTCCCCACCCCGAGTAAAGAGCTGGGGGTGAGGTTCGGGGCTGTGGCTACACCCGCGTTCCTCACGGGCCGGGAGCAAGTGCATTTATTGGGCCAAACCCAGCGCCGGGACGCGGCGTGATCTGGGCGGACGTCGTTTCCTTCAGTTTCACCATCTTCTGCCTTCTCTGCACACTGGTGAGAAGCGCAGATGCCTCCGCCCCAGCCCTCATCTTCCGATCCAGGGACGGGCGCGGATGAAGCACGAGCGGTGGGCCCCGGGCAGAGCCTCGGTCTCGGCACTCCTGGGGAATCGTGACTCGGGAGTCCGGGCTGAGGACCGAAAGCCGGATTTTAACCAGGGCCAGGGTGATTTCATGGGGCGGTGATAGGCCGGGAAAGCTTCCCCGGAGGACAGGTGCGGGCCCGCGGGGGGCCGGGCACTCATTGAAATTCTGATCGTTACGCCTAAGAAAAAGTATAAGGGATACGTGAGTTTCAGGGGTTTGCATCCCAGCAGGAAACTACCCCACCCCAGGCCTTCCAAACGCTCCCCTCTGAAACCTGCCCCATGTAGGATTGTTGGGAAGATGAAATAAAGCCATAATTAAGTTCTGCCCCCATGCCTGAAAATGGCAATTATAATTTATAGACCTGGAGATTTAACTGTGCGTTACCTTCATTAGGTCGTTTAAGACAAATACTCTCAAAGAAAGTAAATAAAAGGTCACTCTGGGTGCTGTGTGACCGAGGGTGGGTGACCAATCTGAGTCAGGGTCTCTTCATCTTCAAAATGGAAAAGAAGGAGCCTGGGGTGTTCAGGGAGGAGGGGAAGCTGCCAGCCACCTGGCCCCTTCCAAAATAGAAACCCCCTCAGGCATCTGCAGAGTATGTGTGCCAACTTGTCTGGGTTTTGATTGATGGGGGAATGTTTTCTTGACTGGCAAATATTTGTCTTCCAAAGTTGGCGAGGCTTCGCTTCCTGGTTTGCGTCGCCTGTAAAAGAGCTAGTGAGAAAGCTGAGGTTCAGAGAAGCCACAGTGGGATGAGGAGAGCTATCAGAGTTCAGGTGTCCATGTCACCGAGTCTCAGTGTTCCTATCTGTAAAGCGGGGACAATGCTACTGCTTGCTTCTCTGGGCTTTTGGGAGAACGAGATGGTGTGCAGCTGTCCAGATAGTGTGCATCACCAGGAGGGCTATGAACAGTCTTTCCTTCACAGCAGCATGACTCATAACAGCCAAAACAGGGAAACGACCCAGATGTCCATCACAGGTGCATGACATACCAAATGTGGCATATCCAAGCAGTGGAGTATTACTCAGCTAGAACGAGTAATGAAGTACAGGTGCACACTACCACGTGGATGAACCTCGAAAACATGATGTTAAACGAAAGAAGCCAGAAACAAAAGGCCACATATTGCATGATTTAATTTATATGAAATGTCCAGGTAAATCCATAGAAACAGAGTAGGTTAGTGGTTGCCAGGGGATGGGGGTGTATTAGTCTGTTTTGTGTTGCTATAACAATACATGGAACGGGGTGATTTATAAAGAAAAACGAAATTTATTGCTTACAGTTTCTGAGGCTGGGAAGTCCATAGTCCATCTGGTGGTGGCGAGAATGACCCAGGGGTCTCACATTGCAAGATGGTGGAAGCAGAGAGAGAAAAAGACAGACTCTCCTTTTCAAGCCCTCAGAACCACGCCCCTGACCACCATTTGCTCCTGGGGGAATGGAGAGCCTGAGGATTATGTGAAATTGAGGGTGTGAATGAAGGGGTGGGGTGCTAAGAGTGAAGTCTGGGACAGAAGAAGGACACTGAGGAAAAACTAAGGAAATCTGAATAAAGTATGGACTTTAGTTAATGATAACATATCAGTGTTGGTTCATTAATTGTGACAAGTGCACAGAGTAACGTAAGATTCACAATAGGGGGACTGGGTGGAGAGGGTGTGAGAACCCTCTCTGCACCTTTACTGTACGTCTAAAACTATTCTAAAATAAAAAGGTTTTGTTTTTTAAAGCTTTTCCCCAGGCTCCCCCACTCCCCTTGCCCCCAGAGACTTAAAACCCTGCCATAATCATCACCTTCTGAAGCTGAGAACCTATATTCCTCTTCATCCCATCAGCACTAACTACAGTATCTTCTGGCCACATTAGAATTTAGACCAGCCAAATAGTTTTCCAAAGGTGAGCCATCAATCTGGACATCTTATTTTAAAGCAATAGATCCGCAGCAGTGGAAATGTTCTGTGGCTGCACAGTCCAGCAGGTGGGCAGAAGCCACATGTGGAAATTGAGCACATGTGGCCAGAGTGACTGAGTGGGGACTGGTGTCTTAGGAAGGGCCCTTCCCTCGTGTGTCTGACATTGCAGCTGGCAGCACACCGGACGAGGCCTGCCCGCCCACACATCTGGACAGGTAATTACAGGACTGAGCATGTTTGGGAAGCACCTGTATTCCACCTGCACAGAGCGTGTTAATTCAAACCTTGATTAATCTACCTGGAGGTCTGAATCTCTTCCACATAGAGTTTCTTATAGTGAGGAGACTAGCAGGCTGAGAAATGAATTTCAGTGAAGAAACAAGGAGTGGGTAAGAAGCCCCGTGGAGCCACAGCCCTGCCTGTGCAGTAGGATCACCTTCCTCATGCCCGGCCACACCCTGGACCAAAGCATTCAGAACCTTTGCGGGGTGCAGCCCAGCTATCAGTATTTTTCAAACTCCCCAGCCAAGGCTGAGAGCTGCTACTCGGACATCGACTGAGCCCAGCCTCTCTCCTGTGGTCTCTTGCGGATCTTAGGGGGAGGCAGTGAGTAGCAGCTGGTGATATTGTCACTGAGCTAATGAGGAGGCTAAAAATACAGTCAAAAAAGAAATGCTGAATGGAAAACACCTCCTGGGGGTGAATCTTCCTTCCCTTGCCTCTCCTGGAACAAGCGAGTGGTGTGGCCCAGAGTAGGGCCATGATGATAAAAAAGGGTGACTTCCCTAGCTGGACCCCAAATGTGCTCCAGGTGTCTTTGAATCAGGCATTCCATGGCTCCCCGCTGGGTGGCTTGGGTGTGCACCTGCACCATGGTCTCTAAGGTGAGGGTGATAACCATGACCTCCTGCAGGGGCTGATCTCAGCTGGTACCCATGGCCTGGTGTTGCTGGCCAGTGGCTCTGATTGCTTGGTCCCCTGCCGCTTCACCTGTTACCTATTTGAACATCACTGTCTCCTAGGGCTGTTGCAAGGTGTATTAGCCCATTTCTGTTGCTTATAACAAAATACACAGAACTGGGTAATTTGTAAGAAAACAAAATTTATTGCTTACGGTTTCAGAGGCTGGGAAGTCCAAAGTCCAGAGCTGGTGAAGGCCTTGTTGGTGGCAACAGTGACCCAGGGGTCTCAAATGGCAAAAAATGGCAGAGCAGGGAGACTAACCTCTTATGTGCTCTCTTTTTAAAGCCCTCAGAACCATGCCCATGACCCGCATTATTAATCCATTCATTAAGGTGTGGTCCTATGATCTAATCACCTCTTCAAGACCCCACCCTTCAATCACCATAACAGAATTTCCCGCCCTCAACAGTTACAGTGGGGATCAAGCTTCTAATATATGGACTTTGGGGGGACACAATTCAATCACAAGGCTTACAGGGACTGAGGCAGGTGAAGTCCGCAGCGGTGTCCGACACAGCTGTGCTCGTGAACAGTGGCTCCTACTCTTAGCAGTGATGCTGTTTCTTTCTCAGCAGCCCTGCGAGGTGTTGTCCTCCCTGTCGAGTGTGACGCTCCATGACAGCAGTGAGAAGTAAAGCAAGTCAGACAAGCAGGGGCCAGGTCTCAAGGGGCCCATCCTTGTAATTTTCAAGAGCTTGGACTCAAAGGCAATGGGAGGCCATCTAAAGCCCGCAGGTGGAGGAGTGACATGATAGATTTGCACTTTAGAAAACTTTGGGTGGCGGGTCGGCCCGTGGCTCACTCAGGAGAGTGTGGTGCTGATAACACCAAGGCCACGGGTTCGGATCCCATATAGGGATGGCTGGTTCGCTCACTGGCTGAGCGTGGTGCTGACAACACCAAGCCAAGGGTTAAGATCCCCTTACTGGTCATCTTTTAAAAAAGAAAGAAAAAGAAAACTTTGGGTGGGTGGAGTAGGGCATAGTCTAGCAGCAGGAGACTCATCTGGAGGGAGGTAAGCAGCAGTGATGGTCTGACCAAAGGTGGCACCAACAGTGGGGACTGTCTGAATCTAGAGTCTATCGACTGTCTATGCTGTGCCCAGAAAAGCCAGGCACAGGGAAGCTTGCAGATCCACCCCAGGTGGTCACAGGTATTTCCCCATCTACCTGTGGCTCTGCACAGCCTGGCAGCGTGTCCTGCCCCTCCCTGGCAGGCCTGCGTGTTCCTGCCTGCAGCCTGCCTGGTTCCTGTGTTTGGCAGGGGAGCCATTGTGACAGCCCCACTGCGCACATTACGGCTGGGCCAGGCGCTCTCGAACGGCTCCAACACGGTGTGAATACACTCTTGTGTCTTTTTGCCATCTGCTGCTGTCATTAAAAAATTACATTTCCATCTGTTTTCACACTTTTCTCCCCTCCCAGCCTCTCTTCCTGGAGGAATACAGCATGAATCCCAAGTCACGAGACCAGAATGTTCCCTCGCCTCTTGGAACCTGGGAAC